TAGTAATATATATAATGTATTTAAATTATCAAGTATATGATAAAAAAAATTCTGTATTAAGCTTATTCATCACTTCACATATACAAAATATACTTTTTAATATCAATGCGGATATTGAACGAAAGTATATTACATTAGAAATAGATATAACTATGAGAGAAAAGCGAATAAAGCAAGAAGAAATAAAATGAAATAATATAGGTAAAGAAGCGAAGACAGAGGGTTTCACCGAAAAGTAAAAAAGAGAAATAAAGGGATAAGCAAAATTTAAAAATTTTTATAATAATATATGTGCGATAGCTTGTGGACGAGATATGGATGTATGAATGAGTTAAGAACTTTATGTAAATCAAGTCCCCTTCTTGGCTGTAAATACGCTGAAATATAATAAATTTTATTCTATTCTACTTTTTAATATCAATCTTTGTATTTAAATTCTTCAATTTGATTATGACATTTTGGATTTAATGTTTTTACGGACATTTTATATACATAAATCTTCTTAATATTATTTGTCATATGTATTTAAATATATTAACATTTAAAAAAAATCAAAAAATATAGTCTGTATTAAACGATTTCATCATAATTTCATGAATCCAGCTTGTATACGAAGAAACTCTAGTGAAAACGCCGGGTGTATTGCTAGGACAATATGCATCTCCGTAACTCACAATACCGATTTGAATGTCCATGCCATTTTCAATTACAATGAGTGGGCCACCGCTGTCGCCCTAAAAGTAAAATATCGAATATTAAATATATGAAAAAAAACCGCCAATGTTCAAAAATACCTTCAATTTATTAAAACTAGCTAAAAAATATTTGAGTTGATTCATAGTTATTAAAGTTTCACTTATAGGTATTTATAGTGATTTATTTTATAGCATTATTTGACTATTTTTTATTATTTTACCTGACAAGCGTCTCGTCCTAATCCTGGTGCCGTGCAAACCTCTTTCTCAGTGATTTGGTACCAGAATTGCCTACATACAGTATTTTTAATAACCGGCAATGCGGCGTACTTAAGTCTTGTCGAAGCTTTGCTATTCGTGTGATCTATTCCCCAACCGATCACAAAAGCAGATTTACCGTCAAAATTTTCTGAATCTTCATAAGCAAGGTTTATCGATCGAATAGTTCCTAAAATAGAGAAATGTGTATTTAACTATTTTTTAATGTCAATGCTGCGACATTATATTAATATCCATAATATTTTTTAAAGGGAGAACCTGATTTAAAGAGTCAAAATTTTTTATTCTTTTTACTTTAATCAATAATATTACTATAATATTATATAAATAAATAAATTTATTAACAGTTTTTTAACATATTATCTTTATAATGATGCTTGATTGTAGCATCAAATTATTAAAATGGCTTGTCAATTTAATTCACGATTACTAGAGTAATTTAATTGCGTTTATAGTCCGTAAAAACAATTCGGCGCGCAATTCGAAAGACTACAATATAGTATATATGCAAGTACATATATAGTATATACAGTATAGTATACAATAGTTCAAGATTAAATTATTTAAGCAATAAAGATCCAGCTTCGATCGTTAAGCATTTTAATTTCTATTAATTGTGTTCTCACATATGCAGTTTAAAATAAAGATTCTTAATAATACTACTCTCAGAAAATATAATTGTAAAGTTTTAAATTCGAAATACTTTAGTAGTTACAGTCTTAGAGGAACAGGTACGCGTCACACATGCAGGTATACAGCACGCGTGGTGAAAACATCCATTGTGCTCCACTTCTCGGTTCCTAGCAAGATATTATTGACTTTAGCAGCAAGATTGATAAAGATTAATATTTTTTTTTAAGAATAAAACATTGTGTTTCTTCTTGAATATGTTTTTAATGCTTCAAACAGTACTATAACAAATATGCTTTAAACAGTACTATAAAAAAACATATTAAAAACATTAATTAAGCAATATGTTTTGAACTGTTTAAAACACGTTTAAAATATGTTTTTTATCAACCCTGCTTAGTAGATGTTTATTTTCAAAGAGGACACACGCAACTCAAATGAACGTTTTAATTTCATCATTTGGCATCTCGTTCCAAAACACTTATTTCTTGCGCAAAAATTATCGAAATCATTGCCTTCGTTTCCGCACATGCCTTTGAAGGCTATGAAGGCTATTCTGGAATTGTAAAGATAGTACAGTTGTTGGAAATAAATATAAGCCAACATTATAAAATATTACGACAATTACAATAAGCAGCAAGTTACGAGGCAAGAACGGCGTCGATTAAACAACATGAAAGAGGTACAGCTCGTAAATTGCAACTAATGCGACAAAACAAGTTTTATGAGAAAACGGAAGGTTTGCTGTTTGGGCCTGGAATAACAGATTAACAGTAAGTTGCAAACAAGCACTACTTTTCGATACTAAAAATTTTTTTAACGCGTTTTTCTCGAAATCACTTTTTCAAAATTGGCGTACAAGATTACTTAAAAACTATTCGACTAATCGATCCCTTGTAAGGTTTTTTAGTTATATAATTGTCAACTATCCTAAAGAATTCAAATTTTATTAAAAAATTTTATTAAAAAATTAGTATAAACAATTATTTCTGTATAACCAAATTGAAATTTTTTATTCAAAATCGTTATTTTTTTCTTCAAGATTCCACAATTCTTACAATTTGATACTTTTCTCTTTTTTTTTTTAATTCATCAAAGATAAAATATTATCTAATTCAAAAAAAATTTTAGATTTTCTATTTCAGGCAAGAATTACATGCTTCAAATTGCATGCCAATTTACAACTCCAGTAGTAAAGTATGATATTTTTTGAATAAATAACTTTTACGATTAACGATTAAGAAATAACTTTTTATTATATTAATAAAATTTATAAATTGATTAATATTAAAAACTTTTTATT